GTAACTATCATGTCACTGTAAGGCCAATTAAGAGTAAAATATGTGAAAACAGTATTCAAATATATGCTGAGAACTATTATCATGCAATACAAGAAAGAACCTCATAATCGACTATGAAATCCTGTCAACCCAACTTTTGTTCAATAAAATGAAATAATTCAAGTCGATCAATTTAAATCATTATAAGTCGACATAAAAACGATTTAATAAAATCAATATTTTCATCTTTATACAGTAATAGAGCATTTCTTTAAAGCTTACTCTATAGCTCATATAATATATTCGAAAAACTAATAACAAGTTTGTCAAGTACAAAAATTCGAAAATATATTGTGCGGTACGGATATTTTTTCCAGCATTGGTGATATGAGAAAGAATTAAATAAAACCAAATATGTCCAGCTGGATATCTAAAAATCATCCGATCAAGCTCATTTCATGATTTAAAAAGTATATTCTTCTCAATGAAATCTATTCGTCTCGCTGTAAACTTTTTTTTTTCAAATTTTTTCTTCCAAATCAAATTACCGTTAATTTATTACTACTGTTCAGTCATTTTATCGCTAAATCATAAGTGTTTCTGAGAGATCCACATACTAAAAGCATTAAAAAATTACATGTATTAACCATGCTATCATCAAAAATTTCAAGCTACACCATATAATTCTCTACGAATTGTATAGAAAATGTGACATTGTTTAAAGAAAAAGAAACTGGGATAAGATAGGAAATAACTAACACAATAGGACCAGTATCACCTTCAATTTTCGAATAATTACGAATTCCTCGTTCATAGCAATTCACTTGTTGCATATAAGTAGACCAGTCTATTTCAGTATCTGTAAACGTTATTTTTTTTTTATTATCAAAGGAATAAACTATTTGGGAAAATAGTCCAATCACACTGCTAACAGATATTTTAAAATATTAAAAAAAGCTAACATGGTACTCTCCTGATAATTAATGTGCATAAAATGGCATCAAATATCCACAGCAAAACGGCAAATATTTTGGAATTTACTGGATTGACATAAAATAGAAACCTGATCATCGAAGACATGTTCTGAAACGGAGCATAAGTTTATATCATTCCTCATCAGTAAATTATCATAGATTTCTAAAAATCGAATACTAAAGTTACTTGTCACGGTACCGAGAATTTCAGGAAATCTTTAGAAAATATTATACCCTTACTTTAAGAAATAATATTGCCATTAAATAGAAATAATAGTCTCACTAAATACTATCCATAACAGCTATGAAATACCATAGACTTCAGTAATTCTTGAAATGTTTCATGAAATGCCAAGATTTCAACTATTAAAGTTTCTGTGATTAATTATTTCTCCACTCCCTTTCAAATTTCATCAGCACAACTAAATAGAAAGGAATAAGTCCTTCAATAATTTTATACATTTCACGTCCTAACTGGTTCATATGTAGTGCAAAAACCAACAAGCTGCAACAAATGCAAACTTCCGAAAGATATTTGCTTTTTAGTTTCAGAAACTGTCATTTTAAAATTGCATCCAACGTACATGCGAATACGATATATAACATATGAACAGTGTAAAGAATTTTTTCAATGATTTTATTTCCACTATTAAAGCAAACTAGAGTACAAATAGAATACTCAATTAGAAAATCCATAATCAATTCAAAACCATACGCCAATAAACTACCGAACTAAATTCTTTGATAAATTCCAAAAAAAAAGTCTACTTAGGAATCTGGAAAAATCTTTGTCACAAAATATTAGCCATTTCTCTACTTCGCTGGATATTTTCTTTCACATTCAACTTGACTGCTTCGCTATAACATCCACCTGCAAGAATTCCTGTTCATAAATCTTTAATTTTATAATTTCCACCGAATTTCTTTAATTACACTATTAATCTACAAAAAATAAAATCATTATTTTGTAAATAAGCAAGTCGTTAAATCACGAAAGATCCAAGTCATGAAAATAAATATTAGCATACAATCTTTTGGGCAAATAGTATGCGTGATGGAAACAGTTTCATTTTATTCTTTTCCAGAAATTAAAATTTCTAGAACTTCATATACTATCGTACTTTCCAAAGCACTTTTATGAGAAAAATGTTATTATTTTCATGGACTGAAATTGTTGTAATCGTATATTACTGTATTTCTTATACTGATTTGTTCTCATATTTGTTATAAATTCATACCTGATCCTAATATAAGAATATTTTTACCAATCATGCGTTGATATATCATTCTCTGAATTTCATTGATGCCGTTAGTCTTGTCTAAACCAAGTCTTCTCTAACTTGAAATTTCTTTTCGACTTGAATCTTTTGCATTGTTCATCTTCCATGCTGTCTTGTCTGCAATCTTGTCTGTAACAGTAATGAAAACTTATGAATTGTCTATCAATCTCCTTGATCCATTTTTCTTAAAAAAGAAAAAATAAACATTGTAATACATTAAAAATAGTAATACTTTAAAAATAGGAATACATTACTCACCTCAAATGACTTCATTCAGTCATTCATAAAATAATCCATGCAAAGTGGTGAAATGAAAAGTATTGAATCAGGAACATTTCTGTTGCAATCAGTATGATTTTAATGCTTCATTCAGTGTAAAACAATTACGGGACGCAAAAGAACTGACAAGCTAAACAGGGACGTTCTGAGAGTTTTCTGAAAGCCTTTCAGATTATAACTGCCATTATTCTTCAAGTAATGAAACAAAAACATTATGATCTACATCCGCAATAGTATTTAAGATTTTATAATACATGTGGCGATATACCTATAAGTAATCACAATAGTAATAACTTATACTACAGAAAGTATAAAGGAAGTAATTAACCTTGGAAAAATGGATTATATGTTTGGAAGTCTGAATCGATATTGCCTGATCATTTCTTACCACACTGCATTTACAGCTTTTGTGCCAATTACCTAAGAAGTAATCGATAAGACCGATTTGTTGATAAATTAATACGCACTGAATCGTATAATCTTATATTTCCACTCAAGCTTACATTTCAGAAAAGAATTAAAGGAGCATTAAAGATTTCTCTGATTACAAAAACATCTGATACTTGCTATTCGACGCTTTCAAAAACGTTTAATAAAAAAAAAAAAAACTGTGAGGAGATTTCCTGACACTTTCCAATTACAGCATTTTTTTTTTTCATTTTTAATGAAAGATTTTTACCAAAGTCAAAAATTCTGAGGGCATAGTGTCCTAAATAACACTTCAGAAAAAAAGTTTCAGCATTTTTTTTCCGAAATCAAATATTATCGTTTGCTTTTTGACATATTGTAGACGAAATTTATGCAATAATAATTGATAAATTATTTAAAAAACAATTCTGCTACCTAATCGTCTATTTTTAATTTTAACTTATTTCAACTTAATTCGTTTGCAAATTATGAAAAACACAAAAGTTGTCTCGAAAATGCATGTAACACACATATTACATCACCTCTCCCGCCTATCCAATACCACCATAAATCCCGATCTCGCCTCATCAACGGAACTGATCAACAAGCATTAGTGGTGCAGTTGTGGGATGCCAAAATTGCATTCGAAATCTAAAAAGTATGATTGATTTCAGTTTCTCATATTGTTCTGCTATTTCATTCCTTATTTATAATCATTGCTCAAAAAAGCAACGTACTCTTTTTGTACACTCTCTATCTCTCACACGTGATAGATGACAGACAAGTCGTATTATTTTCTGATTTCTCTTATATGCTGCTGCATACTAATTTCTTCACATTTAAATCATTCTCTAATATGTAACATTTCCAGTGTTAAAATTTTCATTGTAAGATAATTTCGAAATTTATAAAAAATTCATACATTGATTCACTATTTTAGTGTTTCACAACTATTATAATAATTTTAGATTCAAGAAAAATTTAATTCTAATTTGTTCCGTTAATATTTCAATTAAAAATTTCGTCAATAATTTGAAATTAACGAATATTATTTTGTTGGTACTGCAGAACTAAAATTTACTTATTTTTGAGATTTATTTTTTTTATTCAATTGAATTTTGAAACATCTGCTTTATAACTGCGAATATGAATAACTGAGCCCAAACTGCTCGTTAGAAATCAGATAAGAATCAAGCATGCTTGAAACTAAATTTAAGTATGCCTAAAATAATTCAAACTAATCTACAAATTCATGAATATGGACATAATTGATGCGTCCATATCCATATTTTTCAAAATTTTAGGAATACCAACAATTTCATGTGTAATTTTGAAAGTTTTTAATTTAAACAAATTTCATCAAATCTATAATTAAGTACACGTGTCCTCTTTATCACGCAAGATTATATCATTATATTGCTGGAAAATATTATCTGAGAATATCAGTAAGCATAAAGAATTAAATTTTTTAAAGGTTGAAAATGGATATAACGCTGTACGTAAACTTCCTAAATATTTCCCTAATTTTTAAAGTTTCCTATATGCTAATAAAATTTTGAAGAGCATTGTTAATAATAGAATCGTTTATATTGATGTATTATGAATATTAAAATGCTTTTATAGTGATGTAACTTGATGGTGTTTTTTTTTTCATCCCTTGCACCGGAAAAAAAGTTATAAATATCAATAATTTGGAGATTAATTTGATTTTTATTCTTTACAACCCAGAGAAAACAGCTGTAAATATCAACTAACCGAGAAATTAATTTGAATTTTTGACTTATTGTCATCGACAGATAGGATGTATAATTGAATAATGTAAAATAATACGAAAAACAGTATCAATCTCTTCAGACTAATTAGGGTTAGAAAGTGAGTAAATCAAATTAAATAAAATGAATGTATTCTTTTTTACATTAAAAAGTAATATGGACACTTATTGTAGTAATTATTATGATAATAAGAAGACAATAAGCTTAATGAATACAAATTTTGCAAACAAATTATATATCGATCGGACTTGATGAAATTAGAAATTTACAAAGCAGATTATTTGATGTTTAGAATTTTTTATGAATTAACTAATCGTTTACACGCATATCAGGCAAATCAAATAATGCTAAAATAAACTGACAGTTGACCAATTTCCATTAACGTTTAATTATTAGCTTAGGTGCATTTTTACTTACCCTTTTTTTTAATTTTGTTAAAGTATGATATAAATAAAAATATTTCATAACATTTTTCGTTTTTCTCTGATCGGAATTAAATAAAATATTTGGTGCATTTAGTTTTTCCTTTTTTATATATCATTGTAAAATGCATTCCAAAAATAGGATTAAATTAATGAATAGCCTAAATTGCCTACATTCCTTGGATCATCATTAACATAGTTTTCTATTATAGCTAATGATATACTTAATAACGTTTTTCCAGTAATATTTTATGTTAAATAGGCCAAAGCAAACTAGTATGAATAGCTGAATATCATTGAGATGATATTGACATCATCATCATCATTATTTACCACCTCAAATTCATTTTAAAAAAAAAGAGAGTCGAAGAAATATGGAAGTGAAAAAGAAAATTCAAAATGATTGAATCAATTTTCTGAGTTGCTTATTTTAATCGAATTTACTTTAAAAAATTGGGCTTCATCAGACAAGTCTAATCTATTTCGCAAAATTTAGACATAATTAGATCAGTGTTCTTTTTTTTTCAACGCTTACATCAAATTAAATTTTTTCCTCATTCTCCAACTTTTTTTTTTATTAAAACAACAAAAAATTTCTTGAAATTGTGAACTGGAAAATTTTTTCAAAAATTGCATAATTTGAAAGACTAGTTTTTGCAAACTAGTTTTTTCCCCACGCTGATTATAATTGTTTGTTAAGTTTTTCGCAAAAATATTTGCATGGAATAATTAATTATTGATGTTAAATACCTCTTGAAAGTCTACACAGTAACGGGATTGAAAGGAAGTAATACTTCTTCTTAAACTATTTTCAACGAATTTATAATGGAATATGCATATATATGTACATATATATAACTGGCCTATTTTAGGCCCTAATGCTATTCCGTGATTATTTGCACATTTCTCCATTTGTCTATTGGTTGAAATATTTTTTAACATAGCTAAAGTTCCACTTTCTCTATCATCTTCACTGGGATTTTTTCCCCCGCGATCTCTTGCCTTTTGTAATATTCAAATTTAAATGCAATCAATTTTTTACAATCTTTTTTACAACAATGGTTATTTCATAACTATCTATCCATTTGTTGTTGTTGTTAATAGTTCAACTAGTTCAATCAAAATCATCAATGATTTGTTGCATAAAAGCAAAGATAATTAAAGATTGAAATTCAATTTTTTCTCTGTATTTGAAATAGATCAAATAACAATTATTGGAATTATTACCCGATGATTTGCTTTTATCAGATATATTTATCAAAAAATATCATATATATTCCTGTTTGATGGTTTATCATTTTGTGCATTAATTCAATTCAACACATTTGAATATTCTTTTCATTATTTATAAAATAATTTTTTACCGTAATTTTTTACAGTAATTTTTTACAGTAATTTTTTTACAGTAATTGCGATAACTAATATTACTAGTATCAAAAATGTTTGGCTATGTTTACGACGATATTATGCAACAGCATGCCAGTCCATATGATCCAAACAGAAAAACCCAAGAACGACCGGAACGAACAGTTCTGATTCATTCTAGACTACAAAATGATGGTTTACTTAAAGATGCAATAAATGTTTGTTACCTTAAGGAATTTTCAATTTTTACAATTAATAAAATTTGAAAATTGAATGTTTTGAGAATAAAAAAGGTCTGAAGTTAGCTATTGATTGATTGTTTCAAAAAATCAAATAATTCACACCTTTAAACAAGCTATTAACTATTATTTTTTTTTTTTTTGTAACATCACATATTCTACAACTAAGACGTTCATAAAAATACACAAAAAATAATCTCAGGAGTATTTTTTCCAAAAAAAAAAAAAAATTGATAAGTGTATCATTTAGCCAAGTACAGTAAGTGCATATTTGTGAATTACAAAATTAAATATTGAAGATCAAACTTCGAGCAGCAGAAGACTGGGAACTTTGTTTAAATCATCCTTACAAATTGATCAAAGAACTTGAAGAAATGAAAACGGTGGAACAATTGGAGGAATATTGCAAAGGGCATGAATTACTTTGGTTATGTCCCGATAGTGTTCGTATTGCTCGACTTGTTGTTGGTGGTGTGATTGATTTTGTACAGGCTAATATTCAGGGCAGGTTTGTTTATGACCCAAAATATATTATCGTTCAAATTGCTTTTTCATCTAATTTTCCATTTTATTGTAAATTTTTTGAAAACAATTATATTTGCTGTGAACTTTTCGAAACAAATATATGATTAATTCAACTTTGTTTGTTTATGCGTACACAAAGTATATATAAAACAATCTTTACT